ACGTGCCCTGTTTCCTCCGCCCTGACCTCATGGCACCAGCACCAGCCCTGTGGGGCAGCAGATGCTGCACATCTGGATGGCATGTTGGAGCCAGCTGTGCGGTTCCCTGCCCATCCCGCTCCACCGGCAGCAGCGGGGGGCACTGGGGCAGCTCTCCAGCCCAGCGAGAGGGGCTCCCAGGTTTTGCCTCCAGCCCTCACCCTCTCCTCTTCCCTTGCAGCCTGCAACTGCAACCTGCATGCCCGGCGCTGCCGCTTCAACATGGAGGTGTACAGGGACGCAAGAGCGGCGGTGTCTGCCTCAACTGCCGGCACAACACCGCAGGGCGGCACTGCCACTACTGCAAGGAGGGCTTCTACCGGGACCTCAGCAAGTCCATCACTGACCGCAAGGCCTGCAAAGGTAAACTAGGGGGTCTCCATGCGGGCAGCAAGGGTGATATAATCTCTGTTGGTCTCCTGCTCTTCACTCCCATCCTTGGGACATCTCTCTGCTCTTCTCAGAGCCCAGCTGCTCCCTCTGGCAGCTGTAGGTTACCTCCAACCTCTGTCACCCTCGTCACCCCTGCCCCCCAAGGGCACCAGGCAGGGACATCTCTTTGAGCCCAGCATCTCCTTGAGGGACAGGGAGGACAGCAGGCAGGGAGCAGGCTCCTGGGAGCCCTGCCCATCCCGGGAGGGTCCAGGCATGCAGTCCCGGTGTGACCACAGTTCTGGTCTCCGCAGTTGGTGTTTGGAGAGGTGTCGGGCGAGTGCTGAAGAAGTCACACAACTGAATGGGCTGGAAACCTAATTCTGATACTGACATAGTTCAAGTCATAGAGGTGTTTGGAAGCGTTCAAGCTACTTCACAAAATGACCAATGGTGGCTTCCCTGCCTTGGAGGGCTGGGGGTGCTGATGGAGATTTGCATGTCCCTGCTGGGCCGCAGTGCAGGACCCCACGGCAGGCAATTTAGCTATGGGGTGATTCTTGGGACCTGTTTTTGGGGGGATGCTGAGCACCATGGCTCCCAGTGCCTGCAGGCAGGGTGGCTTTTCCCAAGGCTGGCTGCACTGGCTCCAAGCCTTCAAGCCACAGCTTGACTTTGTAAGGTCCCCAGCCTGTGCCAAATGTCATGGGACTTGCACCTCTCCTCTCCCTCTGCTAGTTCCTGGCCAAGCTCATCTGGTTTCTCTCATCTCTCCACGCTCTGCCCCTTCTGTGGAGCCCTTTTTCTCTGTGAAGTCTCAAACCAATAGTTTCACCAAAGAAGTTGAGAGAACAACTTCTTTGCCCATCCTTGCCCATCCTCAAGGACTGGTGGGATCCAGGCTGAAATGCTGGAGTGGGCAGGAGGTTGTCCACGGCTGCTCTGATGCTGGGAATTCATCCCTGATCCCTTTTTTCCAAGCTCAATTTGCAAGTACCTCCCGCAGGGGAGTGCAGCATCCCCCTCCAGTGCACTGGGCAGCCGTGTCGGCACCGAGCACCTCTGCTGCTGCAAGGACATGATGCTAGCATGTTTATGTAGGGCCTACAGAAACGGCTGAAGCTGATTTCGGACCGCTAACACTGTGGTCATAGACCTGAGCTGAAAGCTTTGACTTTTGGGGTTTCCCTTTTGTGTGCATTAGTGTTGCTTGTAGGTATGGCTCTTTTGGGTCTGGGATGTAACAGGTGATAGGGCTGTGCCCATGCTGTGTGAGCCGCCCCTGCCTCTCCCCATCCTTGATCCCATGAGAGCCGTAGAGAGGACGGAGCGAAGAGAGAAACTTCCCACGTTTGACCGATGCCGCAGCAGCAGCGGGAGCGCCGCTGAGCAGGCGCTGGCAGGGGGAGCCCTGCCCACAGCCAGCTCATTAGCAAACAGCGAGCTAATAATTTTTAATAGCCTGAGCAGCTGACTTGGCAGGTCCCACCACAGCAGCCCATGTCCCAGGGGGACCACATGCTGCTTTCCAGCCCCATGGCCTTGGCCAAGCCATGTCACGGCTATGGCTGTGGGCATGGCAGCCCCTGGGCAGCAGCAAGGGTTTCCCATTGATGGGGCTTGTGCCAGGTGGCAGCCAGGTCCCAAAGCCATGCCAGGTGCCAGCATCCTCGGGGCGACACTGGGAGGCACTGGGAGAGAGGAAGAGGATAAGGCAGGACAAGGTGTGTATCCCAAAGGTCTATAGCACAGCATCCTGGGTCATGTCCTGTTCCTGGGAGGGGTCCTGGCTCTGACTGAGGCCAGGGGGGGATGGCAGCGGCCCCCGGCTCCTGCTGCAGCACTGCTGGACTGGGACAGCTCAGCAAAATTCCGTTTGCCGTGAGATTTTCCTCGAGCACTGGGGGCTCATGGGCACCCCCAGCTCACCCTGACTAGCACCAGAGCTTGTGGGGTGCTGGGGTGGCTGTGCCACCTCAACCTCACCTCACATCCTCTGAGGGCAGCACTCAATCTCCCCATCCCTTCGCAGGTGAGGGATTTCTGCTCCCCTTCAGTTCACCAGCTCCTTCTACTTTTGTGACCAAAATTATCTGACAAAATCCCAAGCAAAGTGGAAGCCTTGCAGGCATTTGCCTTCCTGCGGGACCAGGGGTCCTCAGTGCTGCCTCTGAGCTGGGCAGTGAGGTCTCAGTTTCAGCTCCAGCCAGGGAAGAGAGCACTTACCAAAAAAATAACAATAAATAAACCAAGCAGGATTTGGCTAGGTGCTGAAAGCAGGGAGGAGAGTAACTGAATAACGGCCCAGCTCGATGTGTGGGTTGGAGCTGGGTGTGGGTTTGTGGGACCAGGACAGTGTGGGCACAGCGTTTCTTACCTGGGCTGTGGCTCTGGTCCCTCCATTTTCAGGGCTGAGGATGGAGGAAGCAGAGGGGCCCTGGCCGCCTCCTCCTGCTTGCGCCTGCCTGATGCAGACAGCAGCCTGCAGTCTTGTCAGGGCGAGTCCTGCTCCACCATCGTCGCAGGGCAGTAATTGTGGAGCATCAAGGTGTTGCAAAGCATCTCAGGTTCAAGGTGGCTCCTCTGGAGGGGACAGGCTGGGCAGAGCATCCTGGGGGAGCTCAGGAGTTGGGGGGATGGGGCAAGGGCTGATGCTGCTGAGCAGAAGAAATGTCAGCGGGCAATGCCCGGGCTGCAGTGGAGCGGGGAGCTGTGGCAGGTCCCCCCTCACAGCAAAACTCAGACAAACCTCCCTCCCCTGCCCATCCCTGTGCCAGGCTACGGGCAGGGCTCTGCCTGCCCGGTCCAGGGTTCCCGCTTCTGGAGGCCTCATAGGGTTTGCCCATAGTGTGGAAACGCTGTAATGGTTCAGCCCAGCCGGATGAACATGTGCACGAGGGCTGTCCCCCACTACAGTGCAGAGATTGAGGAGGATCTGGCAGTGAAGGCGGTACCCTGCGTCTCGGGAGCCAGTTCCTGGCTCTGCCTCAGGGAACAGAGTTGATAATTAAATCCATGATGCTTCTGCTTCTTTGGTTGCCCGTCCTTCAGTAAAGCAGAGAGCGTTCCCGCCCCTTTCTTGTACTTACCTAGTGGTGGATCCATTGGGATTGGGAGCGCCCTGGAGCAGGACCAGCACCTGGGAGCCTGCCTGCCCAACGCCATGAATGGGAGCTGGTGCTGCCAGAGAAATATATAAATACGTGGAGATGTCATGGGACACTTTGGGCTTGCTTTTTCCAAAGATGTGTCCTGTATCTACATCTCATATACCTACACTTCTGCAAGATAAAAGAAAGAAACGGAAAAGCAAGGCTCGTGACAGCAGATCTTAGAAGTAAGCTGCTGTGAACTGACATATGTGGCTTTGAATGAAGGTCTTTGCACTCTCTGCAGCACTGGTCCAGGGCAGAAGCTGAACGTCCCAGCAAAGGCAGGTGCTAGGAATGAAGCTCGGTTCATATTCAGTGAGGCGAAATACTAGCCCAGAGGCCAGGAACTATTACATTGTATTTGAATAAAGCCCAAAGCAACTGAGCGGAGCCACTGGCTGGCAAGCAGGGAGGAAAGCTCTTCCCTCCAGCCACCGGCCCGCCAGGAGCCAGCGTCACCGCTGGATGCTATGAGACGGAAAAGCTAGGAGGATGGAAAAGGCAGAACAACCTACAGGATTAATTCAATGGTGGTAATTGAAAAGTCAAATAAAGAATGGCTGTGCATTAATCCCCATAATTCAAACAAAGCTGTAAACCGCGAGCTTTCTCCAATGAAAACTGGTGAAGCAGTAGCAGCTAAGCCTTAAGACACAAAAAAACCCTCAATATTAGGTGAAAGACATGCTTTCTGGCAAGCACAGCTCGATGAGTTAATCTCCAAGCTAGTGACTTAATCCACCGTTCAAGCACTGTGGGCCAGATCCTGGCAACTGGCAGGGCTGTGAGCAGCAGGGCTCTTGTGTGTGCACAGTGGGCACTGAGCTGCGCTGTGGCCCCTGCGCCTGCATTCCCTGGTGCCAGGATGGGGTCCCCGAGCCAGCCCCCTTCTGTGAGTCATGTCAGGACGAGGAGGGATGCAGATGCTACAGCCAGAGCAGCGGGATGTGGCCGTGCTGGGATATAGGACCAGTCGGGGTAAGCACTGGGTGCTGACTGGGATGCTCTTCCCATCAGAGTGGGAAGGAGCAATGGATTTTTGTGGGACTGCAGGAAATCCCACCACTGCAGGGTGAGAGGCCAGAGACTGGTCTGGCAGAGACCAAGCTCGTCTCTCAAAGACACCTAGGCATAGCGGATGTAAGATGAGCAAAACTGCCTTAGGTGCTGATCCAGGTAAAACATCAAGAGTCATTGAAAGCCTTCTTCCACCGCATGAAGAGAGATCTGCTTAGATTAATTGGATCCTGATTGTGCTAAGACTTATGTCCATCCTTAAACTTTACACCAGGAATACACCGCTGAGGCCCAAGAGATTTTCCACAATGTGTGAAGCTAAGCGCTTGTATAAATCTTTTTTGGAAGCGTGCCTTTGGCCATAAATTTTTTTAGGGCACGGACGGTCTGTCACTGTGCATGCAGAGTAGGAGCGATGGCTGCAGGGACATCTGAGCTCTCACTCCACGGCTACATCTCAGATGAGTGGGTGTTTGGCAGGAATTGTGCCCAGTCACTCTGGGGTGGGTTGGACTTTGCCAGCTGGAGACGGGTGCTGTGGCCCTGGGAGCACCCCGAGCACCAGTGCTGTGACAAGAGCCCCTCGTTCAGGGCAGCACCAGGGTGATCCTTGTGGCACTGGGCTGCTCTTTCCAGCATGGGTGGTGATGAGGATGGGTGATGCTTCATGCCCAGCCCCACCAACAGAAACCCAAGTCTTTGCTAGCAGAAAAGAGACAAAGCAGTGGATGGTTTCCAAGAGGTGTACCTGCCAGCTTGTCAAAGGCACCTGCCTCCTCCTAGTGCTACAGGACCTAGCCAAGCCCATGCCAAAAAGCCCTGTGGAGCAGGCATAGAGAAACCATCAAGATGCATCTGAAGCAGCTGAAATGTCCCGGAGCATGGTGGTTCAAGCGAGGGCAGTAAGCCTGATGTTCTCCTCAAGGTGAAGCAGTGGTGCTGTTCCCATAGGTCATCCAGGGCTGGCCAAACACCACATTACCACTACTGGCTTTACTCCTCGCAGTCCAGGGCTGGACCATGCTTTGATCTCAGGACCTTTGACGGTCCCCGCTGATCTGATGGTGAGTGTTTTCAGGGGAGCCAGCAAAGCTGGGCTTGCTGGGGAGAGTCAGCCATCCTGGCAGGAGACGAGCCTGTTGTGGCTGAAGAAAGACCTCATGTTTCCGATGGCCCTGCGTCATGCCAAGACTCCCTCGCTTGCTGCCATTTGTTATCACAGCTGAGCCCCCAAAATATCCTTGTCAGAAAGACGTCCGCTTCCAGCCCCAGCCAAGATCTGATAAGGATGAAGCATCTGGTCCCCATTAGAGTCTGCTCGCTCTGGTTTCTGGCCATGCAGGAGGGGGCCTGAGGAGCAGTGCTGTGGTGCTCCCACCAGTCCCATCTGATGAAAATTAGGGAAATGAAAACATCGGGGGGCTGAGGGGGTTGGGGTTGGGGGGGATATTTTTGTTTTGCTTTGGAATCGTGTTCAACTCTTACACTGATGGAAGCCAAGATAACCGCCTCCAACTTGTAGCCAGATCAGCCCCAGGCAGGCAGATGGGAAGGTCCTCTCCCGAGTGAGCGTCTCCTTTCTGCATCTGTCTATGTAGACAGTGTTCAGTGGGTCCATCATCCAGTGTGTTGTGATGGAGAGCCATTTTGGGTCTGTTCTGAGGGTGAAGACCCAACTTTCACCCACCTCAGGTGTGGCTTGTCCCTGGACAAGCTGCGGTAGAAAAGTGTGGGGGCATTCTTTGAGTGGGTTCTCCAGGAGGCAGGACAAGCGTTGAGGCTCATGAGCTTGGGAAGCATTGAAAAGACCCATTTCAGACTGGCCTAAAACCAAGAAAAGGCGTCAAAGTTTGTGTAACAGCTCAGTGTTGATTCAGCTACATGGACTGGAAAGATCAGAGGTGGGGGAAGAGCAGAACCGTGCATGCATCTGTCTGATTTCTGTCCCTGCAGTACCCTCCGTCCCACCCTGGCCATGAGCAAGCGTTTGCATGGCCCCATGTGAATCCTGCTCCTTTTGCTTGCACAGGACAAGGCTGGCAGCAGGTGCAGGGCTGCCCGTGGAAATCCCTCCTCCTGCCTGCACGCATGCCGGGCTGTCCCCAGAGAAGCTGCCTGCAAGGTCTGCAGGAAGAAACTGTTCTCCTGGGGTCCAGACCTTAAATGTGAGCTGGTGGCTGCAGGTGCCTGTGTGAGCTGCGGGGTCTCCAGGGCCTCATCCTGAGCATCCCTGTCAGTGGAGGCTGTACCCTGGCCAAGCCCTTTGCCGCTCGCCCTCTTGCCCATGTTGCTACAGCACATGTGGGGCCACAGTCTGGACCCATGGGTGCTGGCTGTGCAGCCCCAGCGGCTGTTTTCCGCCGGTGCACTGGAAGGACCCACCTCCTTCTCTGCTCTCCAGGGGTGGCACGTTGGGTCCAGTTTGGGATTTGTGCATCACCTCTCATGTAACCTTTTCTCTCTTTCCCACCCAGCTTGTGACTGCCACCCCGTTGGCGCAGCCGGCAAGACCTGCAACCAGACGACAGGGCAGTGCCCATGCAAGGATGGCGTAACCGGCCTCACGTGCAACCGCTGTGCCAAGGGCTACCAGCAGAGCCGCTCGCCGGTGGCCCCCTGCATCAGTGAGTGCCGCTGCACCCTGCCCTGCGCTCGGGGAGCCCCACCGGGTGCTGGGGGATGCTCTCCTTGGGCTGGCTCCAGTGGGTGCCTCTTGGCCCCCCACCTGTGTGTGGGTGACTTGTGGTGGGTGGGAGGCTGAGATGAGGGTGTCCATCCTTATGGATGTTCTCCTGGTAGTGGTCGAGTTAGGACGGCTGGGTCACCTTCTGGGGGCAGCCGTGCTTCACATCCACCAGTGCAGGAGGGTCTGAAGGACTGCTTAGATTAGTGCTTCCAGCTGGCTGAAACAGCTCTGCTGGGACGTGTCTTCAGCTGCGGTAAGGTGCCTTCCTCACCCAGCTGAGCCCTGAGTGTGGTTAGGTCTGGGGCAAGGCCACATCCTGTGGTCATGTAAAACCATGATTATTGTTTCAGTGGGTCTGAATTTGATCCAAGCAGCAGAGGAACAACTTCCCACCCTGCAGCATCTGCTGGCGCTTCTGGAGTGGTGGCAGTGGGGGTGCACTGGCAGGGCTGACTCCTCTCCCTCTGTTCCCCACATTTGGGGCTAGGACAGAATTTCCCCCAGGTTTTGTTGCCAGGAGTCCTGAGAAACTGTTGTCTTTGCCTATGCTTATCCCTGTGCTGTGCAGCCTGCAGCACGCTCAGATCAGCTGAGCACCCATTTGTCTGTCCATCCCTGGAGCATGTGTCCTCTGCAGCAGTGACTTGCTGCCCTTGGGGGTTGTAGCATCTCAGCCTGTCCCAATTTACTGAGCTTAGTTTGGGCATTTCTGGGTCTATTTAATGGGCTATGATATTCAGGTCAGACTCATCTCATCCATCTTTCTTAGCAAGTTGCTGAAGGTGACCCACAAAATCCCCTCTGCGCCCCACTTGCAGAGGTCTTTTGTCCAGGTGTCACCCCAGAGCTGGGGACCCCTTTGCTTAAGACATCTCTCGCTTTCTCTTCCAGAGATCCCTGCCATCAACCCCACCTCCCTGGTCACCAGCACAGAGGCACCTGCAGGTAAGTGCTCCGTGTCCTGGGCCAAGCCCACGGCCCCAGCCCTGCCCAGAGATGTCCCATCCCACCTCCCCTCTACCCAGCGCACCAGGGAGAAAGACTAATGGTGAAAAATTTTGGTGAACAATTTTTGTGAAAAAGTGACTGAGATGTGAAATCCTATGTATTTCTGGAAAGGGACTTGATGGAGCTTTCTCATGGAAAGGATTTTTCCACTCTCTCTGAGGACGAAAGCAGGGATGCATCTTGCCAGGGCCTTGCTGCCCCTTGGCAGGTTCTGGCAGGGGCTGTGGTGTGTGGCGCCTATGGCTCAGGGGCTGGCTTCTTTTAGTCTCCTTTTATTGGTGCTGGTGCAAGAGGTTTCTCCTTGGTGCCTCTTACCTCCACAGGGCCTCGAGTCTCTGAGCAGTGCCAGGGCAGTGGGGATCCAGCAGGCAGCAGGCTGCAGGCAGGCTCAGGAGCCCCTGTGCCGGGGCGTGGGCTGCCAGCTCTCCCCTGGGACATGGGTGACACCGGGCTCACCCCATCTGGGTCTGGCGGAGTGAAATGTCTGGGTCTGAGCTTCTTGTCCCAGCTCTGTGGGCTGATGGGACCGTGGGAGGATTGATGTTTTGGGCCCCTCAGTACAAGAAGAACATTGAATTGCTGAAGAGTGTCCAGAGAAGGGCAACGAAGCTGGTGAAGGGTCTGGAGCACAAGTCTTATGAGGAGTGGCTGAGGGAATTGGGGCTGTTTAGTCTGGAGAAGAGGAGGCTGAGGGGGGACCTTATTGCTCTCTACAACTACCTGAAAAAAAATTGTAGTGAGGTGGGTGTTGGTCTCTTCTCCCAAGTAACTAGTGATAGGACGAGAGGAAATGGCCTCAAATTGCATCAGGGAAGGATTAGATTACATATTAGGAAAGATTTCTTTACTGAAAGAGTTGTGAAGCATTGGAACAGGCTGCCCAGGGAAGCGGTGGAGTCACCATCCCTGGAGATGTTCAAAAAATGTGTAGATATGGCACTTCTGGAAATGGTGGTGATGTGTATGTGGTTGGACTTCATGATCTTAGAGGTCTTTTCCAGCCCTAAGGATTCTATGACTCTATGTTTCTATGTCACTGCTGCTGTCACCCAGTGGGAGAAGTGGACAGCTCTGGCAGCAGGCTGCAGGCTTTGCAGGGGTGAGGGAGGCATTTCTGCTGCTGTCCTTAGCGTTCCTTGAAAGTCACCCTGGCTTCCCCAGGCTGGAGCAGCAAGGCTTGTGTCTCCACGCAGGCTGCAAGTTTGCTCGCGCTCTTGCAGAGACTTGGCTGGGGCTGGACACTGGCAGGGACAAGGATGCTGCCTGCACTGGTGGGTTAGGGTCCCGCTTCCAGCCTGGCCAGGGCTGCCAGGACCCCACCAAGGTGTCCTCAGCTCTCACCCTGACATGGCACATGCCGATAGCACCACACAGTGCTGCGCCAGCCTCTGGACCCTATGCCACCACCATGCTCAGCCCTCCCCAGAGCTGCAGGATGTGGCCCGGCAGATGCCATGGCAGACAGGTAAAGCAGCTGCTTTGCGTCTCCTCCTCGACCATCACTCTTCTGTCAGACACCTTTCTGCCATCTCCTCCATCTTCTTGGCACCTCTGTGCCCTACGTGGTAGTCACCAGAGGTGGGAGCGGAAGGGCTGTGCCAATGCCAGGCCAGCTCTTCAGAGGCACGCACGGCCATGTGTTGGAGGGGGCCATAGCAGGGCTTTCCTCTCTGCTCCTCTCCGTCCACAGTCCTGTTGGCACTGTAGTGTGTCTGTTCTTAGCCATGATGCTGTCTATCCCTCTGTAGGGATCCCAAGCCGGGTCAAGGGGGAGAAGCTAG